TGCCAGAAGTATGTATTATCTTGACTTTAATTAATACTGCTAATTTCTGTTCCACTTAATATTGCTTGTAGCTGTTGGAGACAAATTATATAAAGCTGTATCCAAATACATTAACCAAGCCAGATAAAATCTTGGCCTTTTGAGACTGCAGAGTAGTAAGCATATACACAGTGAATGCTCAGGTTTTCTTACTGTGCTGGTTCTGTTTTACGAGGTCAAAAGTTTTCTAATTTCAAAAGCAACTTAAAATCTTTTGGGGGACTGAGGATGTCTCATTTTGATTTGAAATATGGTTTTGAGTATAAATAGGCTTTTGTGAGTTGTGGGGAATCTGTCATGCTGTTCCTGGATTTTTACATGCTGCGTTCTGATAAAAACAGCAGGCAGATTGTATTTCTTTATCTGCTGGAAAAGCCAGAAGATTTTTCTTACTCATCTGGGAATTTAGGAAGAATCCCTTTGGGAGTTACAACATGCCTGTGTGGTCAGGTGTAAACCAGGTGCGTAACAGCTCTTTCTAATACTCCAAACTGCTAGGGCAGAAGCTGCTCTGTGGGGAGCTGGGTTTTGCTGTCATGAGACTTAGTGATAAACTTATGGAACTGTATCTTCAATATGTTACTTGTTTCAAGTTTATGGACTACAAAAAGAAAAAATGAGTGCCAGCAACTCTGTATTCATTTTTTGCACATCTCTTATTTATCTATAGGCTCACACTTCCAAGGGCAAAGCAACATTAATGCTCTTGGGTACAACTTGCATACTGGGGTTACTAGTTGTGCTGGGTACAAGGAAAAATGTCTCAGTTGCTGATACAGCAACTTGCAGTGAGACGAACTGTGGAAATAACTTTAGCTGCCCAAAAGCAGTTACTTGCAAATTTATGTGACCTACGTGTATATATATTTATATTTACAGACACAAGCTGATTCTATAAAATGTGTGTGGAATTCACTTACACCCATGACATGCCTGATACACACACATTTGATGGCTGGCTTGCTGACAATATGGGAAAGTACTTGCTGGTGACATGTATGGCTCTCATCCATCCCTTTGAGAGCCTACCCTGTGGCCTTTGTGTGTTTCCTATACTCAGTGGGTTTTGCTGGGTACATATGGATGAGAGGGAAGTATTCTTAGTTATTTTTATTACTGTATAATGAACTAAAATTTACCTTGTTACTTTAAAATAATACTTCATCAGGTGCATCTTCTGCCTCCCTGATAAAATACACACAAAAATACCTTTCGGCCAAATCAGCTGTCTAGGGAACTGATCACAAATGGAAAGGTTTTTATTGTACTACTTTTTTTTCCTCCATTTACTACCAAAACTGACCTTTCACATACTAGGTACTAGCAGCAATTTGAGCAAGACGTGGATTTTCATTGCTCTGGGGCTTCTGAAAGCCAGGGCCCAATTATAAGCTCTCTTTAAATATAACTGAATGGGACAATGGATGCAAACTACCTGAGGCTTCTGACTAAGTATGCAGACATCTCAGATCATTTGTTCTTTTTTTTTTTTCCCAAATCCTTAGTCATTCCCTTGTCTCAAGAGAAGTTTTGTTTCTGAAGGAGTTCTGAAAGATATTCCTGTAACAAAATGAAAATAATAGAGATTTGTTCCTTAATGCTATAAATTACAGCAGATTCAACAGCTGTTTGTCGTCATCCTCTGTCAATGATACTGCACTGATTAGGCACTGCACCAAAGTGTGGTAAAGCTTAAGTTTCTATCTGAACTTCTTTATGTTCTGTAAGGGAGGGTGTCAGCATTGTAGGGCTGGTGCTTTGTGCCTGACATAATTGGTACTGATGTTTTTAGTATTCTGTTTCCAGCTTAAGAATGCCTTTTTGTTATCAGGATCTTTGCATTTCCTCTCTTCTCCAGTACCCTTAGGTTCCTGTCTTCCCCAGAGATTATATACCGAGAACAAGAAGTAAAATGGAAATTTGGGTATTCAACAGGCAGTGGAAAACAGTAGCACACTTTTTATTTCATCAAAAAAAGATCTGTTGCAAAGCCAAGTCACTGACCTTTTCTCCCCATCCATCATGGCGCTTCTCAGGAAGAGCTGGGCTCTGCTCCACGGTGAGCTTGCCTGGTGTGAGGAAGTTCACAGATGCATCCTGTGAGAACACACAGGGCTCAGGTGAGCCCTGAGAATGACGGTATTAGGTCCTTTCTGATTAATCCACCCTTCACCAGTCTGTCTAGGTGTCACACTGCAGACTGTGTGGGCTTTTTTAGGATTCTGTCTTTCCTGCTGAAGCCTGCACAGAGTATCCCACAGTTGTGAGGTTCACAGAGGACTAAACAAGATGCTTCTTGCTCCAACTATAACCATCGTCTACATGGAGAATTTAGGTTTTAATCTAGGACTGTGTTCATTGTGGAGGTCAGAGGGGAAAGCTGTGCTTAAACCAAGCTCTTTCTCTACCTTTTCCCTAAAACCCTCTAGGGCAAGCCTAACCAAAGTCCCCTGCTGCCTACAACTGTTAGAGTAAACTCAGGGATGCCAAGGCCAGTCAGGGGGAGGGGAGACTGGGAAGGAAAGAGGGGTAAAGAAGGTGGTGTAGGTGCCCTGCTGTCTTAGCCACTGTTGCCCACATAGGATCCATTAGGTTTCCAAACAGGTACTCAGAAGCATTTTGTCTGAGATGGCAGCATGGTTTTCTGAGCCTTATGTGGCTCAGAAGAGGCAGATGTTCTGCAATGTGTTACTTTTTGAGGTTTAATGCATATATTATATTGTTTGTCAGTTTGTGATATCCTTTCAGGCTCTGTGGTTATGGGTTCCTACTTTATTTAGCATTCAGCATTTTAATTGTATCTGCAGCTCCTGCAGCAGGCATCTCTCTGAAGAAGCCTTAAGATGTCATAATATTTGAAGGAGAAAAATGTGCATTTTTTGATAGCACCTGTAATTTAGGTAGCAAAATAATTGGGGAGAAAGCATCTCTTATCTCTTGTTGAATCTGATATGAAAGACAGTTACAGCTTTTCAAACCTGGCTAAAAATATGAATTATCCTACAATATTTGGATGGATCTAACTTAGGCAGCTGTCAGACAGAAATATTTTAGGTTCTGTATGTTAGTAACACTTGCAGAGGGGCTGTGGCTGTTTCCAAAGACCTTTTTTGTTGTGTGAAATGAGGGGAACTCACTTAGCACAGTAACTACTGTGGAGATGTTTGAACAAATAAATTATTGCATGAAATAATTATTCCTAATAGAAGAATAAGATTGTATGGACTTTAATCATTCTTACAGCATCCTTGTGAGAGGCATATCAGAAACTTTAGGAGGTCTGTTACTTTCAACGTTGGTATTCTGCTCAGGTTACAGTAAGAATTATTCCTTGCCATTTCAGGAGCACTGGGGGTATGGGTGTGCAAGTTTTATTTTATCTTATTTTCCATGTGAAAGACACATTCAAAAAACTAGGAAGAGCCTTTAGTAATCATATTACATCACTGTTAACCAACAAAGGCTATAAGGACCTTCTGTAAGACCAGTCACAATTAGAACTTAAGTATCAGTTGGGAATTGGGCTATAATTCTGGCTAGAATTTATCCTGTCTTTTGATATGGTACAAATCCTTCCTACCTAGCCTGATTCTCAGCCTGGGGTTTAACATTCTGCTTAGTGTTCATTTTATTTGGTTTGACACTCACCCATTGTCTTTTGCATGAGTTTGTTGTTACGCTTTGCCTGAGCTGAACTACTCCACCTGATGGTAAAAACAAGAAAATGTCGTCTCTCATGCAATGAGGATTTATTTGAAAAAATGTAATCTAGTGGAAGCATTTAATGCTGTAAGGGTATTTGTGCCTTAATCCAAGAGACTTACTAATGATGTTCTGCCTCCTTTGTACTTGGATGTAGAGCAGTTAAGGTTATGTAAAGGAGTTGCACAAAGATCTTGCTTCCATGGTTTTCTCTCATGTTTCTAGTGAGATACCCAGTGCGTGGGTACTTGTACTGTAGACATGTGCTTCTCAAAGTCCAGATGCTGCCAGAACCTAAGATGCAGCTGTGCTTTGCAAGACATGCATATCTGAAAGGAGTTGTTCTTGCTCATGCACAAAAAGGGAAGAGTGGCTGCTTGGTAGCTGTTGATTTGATCATGTTCTTACTAGCCGATATGGAAATACTTAATGGTTGAGTATGTTGGGTAGAAGAGCATGTCTGTGTGGTATTTTCTATCTCAAGTCCACTTAGTTGCACAGAAAAGGAGGTAAAACTAAAGAACTCTGAAAGAAATAACCTGCTTACAAGAAAAGATTTAAAAGGCTCTCTTGTGGCATTGAAAGACAAATAATCACATAAATCTTGTACAAGCAGCAAAGAAACAGGAAGCATAACAGACCTGCATGTTCCCAAGTCTTTTAGTTTGCCCAGCTTTTTGCAATGCAATCTGTAGATGCATACTACAATAAATTTGTCTCTGGCACCTTTCATGTTGCCCTAAGATGTCAGAGTATTTTCTGTGTGATAGCAAGATCTGTCACTTCTGGATGGTCATGTCTTCAGCCAGGAATGAAAAAGGTATGATTTGCTATCATGAGCTGATGTGGCTGGGCTAAAGGATGGATCCCGTATGGAAGGATGCTTGTATGTAACAGCACATGAAAGGAATGTTCTTTAAAATATTTGAGCAGCCTAAGGCCAAGATTTCCTGTGCTATTGAGAAGGTAATGTGAGATCTGACCACCTGAGCACAAGCTGATTACATTCAGCCTGCACTCTTGCAAAAGAAAGGTCATGGTGCACCAACCAAAAATCTTTGTGAACAGGCAGGTTGCTCTAATTCATGCTGTGAAACTTTGAGGAATCTCCTTGTTGTATTCAGTTTTCATAGCCTGTATTAAAAATTGCAAATTTTAAGCTGTTCCTGTAGCTTTGTCTTTCACTTGTATTAACCATATACATTTATATTGCCCAAAATGGTGTGTACAGACCTTTTTTTTTTTCCTTTCTCTCTCAGACACCCTGGCTCTGGAATACCAGACAGTGCTGGAACGGGTATCCATATCAGGTAAAAGTCACAGTGGTGCCTAAAACCAAACATGACACCTCTGCAGAGCTCCGTTTTTATTATGGTGGAGCTTTGTGTCAGTATGTTAGCGTGAATGGGCTACTCAGCATTTCAGAACATTGCTAGATGCTCCCCATCTTGCTTGAGTTCAGGATGGGAAAGATGAATATAGCTGTCACACGTGTTTTGAAATGAAGCACAGAATCTGAAAACAGATCTGGGAAATCTAACCGTGAAAGCGGACATCTGCAACGGGAGTAGAGTGGTCATTTTTTACAAAGTTCTGAGGATAATGAAAGTTTTAGCAAAGCCTCAGATTCAGCAAGTTGGGAAAAAGCCAGTATAGTTCTCATAGTTGTTACACTGCATACAGGGCAAGAGTTAATCCCTGGCAGCTGGTGCAATTGAAGAGGAGACTGAAGAGAGAAGGTGGGTTTCTCTTTAGGTAGTTAAATAGGGCTATCCAGTCCTGGCCTCATGGAAGCTTACAATGAGAGAAGGTAAAATTAATGAGAGAATTGAGACTGATTTCAAGTCTTTATTTTCAGCAATGTCTGTATTTTCATGAATTCAAAAAGTATCAGCGTTTCTCTCTGTTCTATGTCAAAGTAAATAACTTCAAAGAAAGGACTTAAGTCACCTCCTTTGCTAAGGAGAAGAATGCCACTGTTAATGTAAAAATGCCCTTTCAGTTTGTGTCCTGCTGCATTCATTCCCTCTTTCAGTCCTCGGAAAAAATTCTGCTCAAGGTTGAAATTTGGTTCATTAAAACAGTCTTCAAAAAAATAACACTTACTCCTCACTGCACTGCTAAGGTTTTAACTAGTTGCAGGAATATTTAATTCCTAGGTCCAACTTCTGGCCATCTTTCACAGCAGCACAGTTGCTCCAACAGCGTAACACCAGGGTTAACTGTAGCCCTACAACTCCAGAAACTATTCTCTGCCAAGGGGAGAAGGAGCAGGACAAGTGAAAGGAGAAGGGTAGAAATTTTATTTATCATTATCTGGTTGAACAGGGGCTTCTAGAGTTTGCATACCCAAAAAGCTTTGAGAAACCTCTCCTGTGCTTTCCATTAGTTTGTGCTACTGGAGATAGTTGTTAAAAGTATGGGATGTATTTAAACAGAGCAGTCAACCTGCTCTAAAGGATTCAAAGTATTTTTCAGAAAAGATAACTCCTGAATTCTGCCTTGGCTGTACCACTGCCTCATTTTGCCTCCTGGTCTGATAGAAGTAGCTTACAACATGGATGTTGTGAGGATCGGTGAATCAATTAAGTGTTCCCTTTTATTATTAACAATAACAGTAAGGTAGCCCTTTAGAGGAAAAAGTGTCATCATGTATGTGGGCTAGGAATGGACTTTGGAAACCCTTTTGGGAAAGCTAAGGGACACCTGTTTCCTTAATACCCTTTGTATAACAGGAGGCAACAAGAGATCAAAGTTGTGAAGTATAATTTTTCCTTTTGCTATAAATCAGAGGTAACAAAAGTTTCAAATGTGAGCTAGTAAGATTGTCTTCAAAATTTTTAATAACTTTTGAGGGTAACTTTTGGTAGCTCGTTTAATTAGTCTGAGTTCTAATTCTAAACCTGAGCTTCTTTAAAATGCTGGGGGGGGGGTTGGTGGTTTTTTTTTTAATTCAGCATCCAGGAGTCTCAATAGAGAGAGAGGCAGTGTACTAGCTGTTATCCAAATATAGTTTACATTGAATTCTAAAAGCTCCTGCGAAGAGTTTGCAATTTAACGAGCCTAACCTGTCTAGGGCATATTGCTTTTTTTTTTTTTTTGCCTTTTTTTTTTTTCCCCTTAAGGGCAGGGAGGGAAAAAAAAATAGCCAGACTGGAAAGGATGAAGAAGAGTATTGTCTGAAAGACACATGAATTCCCTATAACAGTGAACAGCCCTGGACAGACTGAACAGGAGAACTGTGTTTAGGTTTAGGTGCTACTGTTCTTGAAGGTTGTGTACCAGTTGGAAATAGTTCAGTGGAGATAGTTCAGCAAGAATGACCAGAAATCTTGATCTGAGAGAGATTGAATGAGTTTGGTCATTTAGCCTCAGAAGAAATAATGACTAAATTCCACCCAAGGACTGGAGGGTGAACTGAATAACATTAGGGAAGCAGCAGAAGAAATTGAATGTGGGAAGTGTTGAATCTTCATCCCTCAGAGATTTGGAACAATTGTTTGTCAGAATTTGTACAGCTGCAGTCACTGGTGCCTTTCAGTCCTCTTTTCTACTATTTTTGTGTTATTGCATGCAAGAAGAGATTTACTTATGACAAAAGACCATGAATCTTACTGGTTAAAGAACATATATTTACCAGACTTAAGAGAAGAACAAGGTCATTCAGAAAGTTAGTTACAACTTTTAGAGGGTGGCAACTAAGTTTACTGTATCTAAAATCATGCTACTAGTAGAGAGGGTCCAACAGAAAGCAAATCATCAAATAAAAGTCATTATCAAAGTCTTTGTCTCAGAGATTAAAATGTCTGTTGGGTGCTAATGAGGATTAAATACTGGGTTTTCAATTTTTTTTTTCTTAACTAGATAAAGTTTCTAATCTCGTTTGCTACAAATCCTTTGTAAGTTACTCAACACAGCATTGCAGAAATCCAGCTGGACTTACTGTAGATACAGTCAGATGGATCATTTGGGTGACAATTTACCTATAAGCAGAGAATAGTCCTGTTGAAGTTAAGTCTATGGAGAGCTGAAACCTGACATTTAAACTAAGTTAAACACACACTATTGATCCTTTCATGGAGGGAAACCATGATATCTTTAGAATCCCCCTACGTTAGTATGTATGGGTTTAGAAATACTAATGCTGTTGTTAATGAAGCAGCTGACAATCTTAATTGTCTTACTAGAAATTTTCCCCAGTGAGTTTTCTTGCAATAATGAGTATAATAGTCGCGGTTCACTGCTAACTCATGTTCTCTTCCCTTTTTTTAATTACACCTAATTAAAAGCTTACTGGCAGTCTCACTAAATCAAAAAACGGATTATATTGGCCCAAGAAATGGCTTTAGAACATAAATTTTGAGCGTACACATTTTTCATAAAGCATAAGCATATGTCTATATTTAAATAACCCACATAGAGCATTCAGTGGGCACCTAAGGACTGTTCTTCAGCTGCAAAGACTTGGTCTGCAAAAAGGAATGGGAATAAAAGAGGCAACTGAAATGCTTCTTGCCAATGGAAATTGCTCATGCCCTGCTTCGGTGCATGGTTGTGTCAGTGCAAACTGCTCTAGAGATGGTTCATCTAATCCCTCAGGAGATACCCTCAGGAGCTTCTCCTGTGCCAGTGCTCCTCTCTATCACTGTGATGGAAGACATGACTAGCACAGAGGCACAATAGCATGGAAATTAGAGTAGCTCCTAGGACTGGCTCTCTGAGGCTTGGGCATAAACAGCTTATGTGTGCCAACAGTTACCTTCTTTGAAGTAACCCCAGGTTGGTTTTGGTTGTGCATCAGTTCCTGTGTCTTGGGTTTTTTATTTCTTTTACTTTTAAACATCTGTGTAACCATGTTGTATATCAAACAAGATGCCTCAATAAATTTATTTTCTTCTTTCCAAATGTTAACATGTTCCCAGAAAACGGTTAAATTCTTTAAAAGTAGGCTTTTATATTAGAAAGAGCCCTGTTTAAAGCTCACAACATTTTCATCATGAGCAGATGAGATTATATACTAGCATTACTTTTCTCTAATCTGCTCTAGCATTGTTTCTTTTGCTGTGCTTGAAACCCACATTACTGATGTACAGCAAGATGTTTCAATTATCTTTCAAAATAGATGTAGGACTACTCAGACTTCAGTTTGTTCTAGGTTCCAAACAGACAACATCATAGTTCTGGGGTATTACAATATTACAGTACTGTCAAGATTAAAACATAAGAGGAGGGTAGGTTGGGGAGCTTTTTTTTTCCAGAGCCATCAAAGTTTGAAAGAGGCAACCGTCATCATTTTTCTTACATGGGATGCTTATGTATAATTCAGTAATCCCCCCGTGATTAAAGATGTCTCCTATAGACCTCAGCTGCATATAATGTCAGTTAGACTCTATTAACTTTTTCTCATCTCCATCTTTCAGCCACTGCTGCCTGACCTTCATTATTACTACATAGTTGAATTGTCATTCTACTGGTCCTTAATGTTTTCTCAATTCATTGACATCAAAAGAAAGGTAAGAACAATGAGACTAAAAACACTGAAAGCTTTAAGCACATATCGTTCTTGACTTGAGGAATACCTGTATTACCTGTGCCCTGAACTGGAAATACAGTTCTTTCTAGTCACCACCTCTTGCAGATATTTGTCACTGAGAAACTGGTATTGAAGTGCTTGTCTTACTCTGTTCCTTGTTACTATGATGTGAGTTTTTTTCTGCACGTGGGAAGAAGAACCTGGAGTAATCAAATATTCAAGGGGAAATAGCATCAGCCAGAAAAACCTTCTGCTCTCATACAGTGATTTGAACGGAATTGAACACGTAGTAGCTAGTAGATGTACTGTTTCTTCTAAGAGTTAAATGATGAAATATCAATGACAGAGCAAACAAATTCACAGTATCACTTTGGTAAGTTCTATGAGGGCTTTCAATTAATTCTACAAAGGGATGGTAAAAACAGGGATACATTTAATATTAAAAAACAATGTTATATTTAATCTTACCTTTACGGTTATGAAATTTCAAGTAGCTGAGCATTGCTATTAAGGAGCAATCAAGAAAATAAAACTCTGGACAGATAAAAACATTTTTCCAGTATCAGTAGCAACCTGTTGCATATTCCTTCATGCAAATTCTGTCCTCCAAGGAACGTGCTAGTCCATAGCAGAACAGGCAGCACAACAGTCATTCTATAATAACAGTCCATTGAGCTATTCTTGCAGGGTTTTTTAATGTTGCAAAACTACTTGTTTAAAACATTTGGAAGGATTTTATAATATTTTTAGGTGCCTCCTTCTGCTGTCATTTAATTAAATCATTGTAGGCTATGTTAATGGAAAAATCCCTGTTTACTAGAATTTTAGCAGAAGCATAATTCTGAAAAGAATAAGTGAAGGATCCGGTATGTCCTGAATAAATTTATCTGCTATTTGGAACCACAGTATGCTACTGGGAGTCTTGTGTCAGAGCTATGTATGTAGAAAAACACCCCTCTATTTGAATTTCCAAATTTTTCCAGAAGTAGAAATCTCAAGAAAACATCCACAAGTTTTAAATCCATATTTGAAGGTAAATTGTAAGCAAAACAACCAATTTAGGATGAATATGTGTAAATCCCTTGCTTGCATTGTCTGTAGATTCTAAACATTCTGTTAATCATGAGCTTGAAATGAGTACAACTTTACTGTTTCAAAAAACAGAGATGTAGAAAAACAGTGCTCAATGGAGCTGTATGATAGTGGAGATGAATTTAAATCATGAGTAAGATTGACTAATATATGTAAGCTGCAGGTGCCAGCAATGCTGAATAGCTATTTGTCAATATATCAACTAAAACCAAATCTCTGCAGCAATGTTACAGAATTGTTCAGGTTATTGCTGCAGAAATGTAGTGTGTCTAATCAGTCCCCCTACATTCATATTCAGCCCTCTGCACTGTGCCATTGGTTATATTTTATTTTCTTTGGGTACCTCCTGAGGGAGAGGAAAATGTAACAGCATTGCAATTGCAACAGTACTGCAATTTTGCTGTACAATACATCTTTAAAGAATATTTAATTGATTCCTGACTAGTTGCTTTGCTCATGTGAAAAGTAATTGGAGGCTACCTGAACAGCATCTAGGTTCAGCACTGATGTACACTTCTGAAAAGGGCCATTGGGAGGGTCAGTAATACCTTTCTCATTTAAATATCTCATGAGCAAATGCTATAGCTTTTTCCCTCATGACTTGGAGAGTTTGTTCCCATTGGTGAGCTGGGCACAGAGCTAAAGCCTCGTCCTGTCCATAGTACAGGTGCAAGTAACCAATCTTTTGCAAGTCTGTTTCTCAGTTATATATAAATGACTTGTACTTGTTATCAGGAAGACTTTGCAGCAGCCTACTGTGGAAATAGAATGGCAGATGGAGGTGGGGAAGTGGATCACTAACAGCTAAGTAACACCCCTGTGGCAGATTTGCAGTGCTTGAACCCAGAGCACCAGATCAAAGCAGTGTCCCATGCATCTGCTGCGTCTGAGAATGTCCTGTGTTCAGCAGAGAGCAGGAGCACAATATCTGCAATGCGATGATAGCAAGTCAAAAGCCTTTCATTATAAGCACCCTGCAGGAGGCAGTGAAGATGCTGTATTTACAAATAACTTACTAGATCACTGACCAGTTTGGACTGTAGAGACAGTTCTCCTTGTAGTGTAAGCGAAATTGATAACTAAGAAGGTCAGACTGGAGAAATGTGGCCATGCGCTGGTGTCACACAGTAAAACTGTTCTGTGGCCAGGGGTGAGTGCAAGCTGTCAAGAAAACCCGTGAGTTGAAAAATTTTAGCACTGGGAGTGTACAGTATTTGACAAAAAGTAGTACAAGCTTGACAGAGACCCCAGCTCTTGCAGCACCATAATAGTTCTCTTTTAAAGGTTTAGTTTAAAAAATGTGGAAACCTCTTAATGTAGCCAACATGCAATGTGTGAAATGGTGCCCATGTGAAATAAGGCTCTGTTTAACTAGAAGAAGCAGGAAATTTGCCAGCTAATGCCAGACACTATTGTAATATTTCATGACAGCTTATACAGAGCAGATTAACAGTTCTCAGCCTAAGAAACCTGTTGATGTTTTTATGTTACAGTGAGAGGAATACTTTTATCCAAGTCTTCATTATCATTTTAGTTACTTTAAATTCAGCAGTGGCTGTGCTGTAGTCTGGGATGATCAGAAGTGCCCTGGCAGCCTCCTGCACTGCAGCGATTCAGCCAACCGCTTTTGTGTAGCCAGGTTTCTCTCAAGGTGAGGTGCAGTAGGTCTTCTCTGAAAGCACCAGCACTCAGCACTGGCCTAACTCCAGCACTGGTCTTTTACTCACTGTAGCTCAAGAGAAATGTACTTGCTGCTTTCCATCTCCATTTTATTCTTCTCTAATAGCGAATTCCTGACTCTAAAGTGACTTCCAAATGGTTTGCTGACTTTCAAATACCTTTTTATCTTTATTAGGTGTTATAAATTCCACCAGATTATCTTTGCCTGGCTGAAGAGGTGTGAGCAAACTATTTAGGCTGTTGCACATACCTACTATTGGCATTAAGGCAGCAAACCGAGTAGATTAACTTTTACGGTTTTATAATGGCATGTTGTTTGCTTCATAAGTATCTACTATGTTGCTGTAATGATGTTCTACCCTTAAGGGTTTTCATTTGCAAAGACTGCAACCTAGTATGATCTGGTTTCTTATCATCTCTCTCCAGCTTCCAATACTCCTCTTTTGTAAAACATAGACTAAAAAAACTATATCAGGGAACTTTGTTACTCTCTCAAGCCCCTGATGAGTTTTAATAGCAGTGAGGCTTATTTACATGCTTTCTGGATACCTGAAGTATTGTTTAATAGAAAAATATTTGACAGGTGTATTTAAGGGAATGTACAAAATTTCTAGTCAGTGTTTTAACAGGTTTATAGAAGATCGAGGAGACCTTTCTGTGTATTCACACCTTTTAGTTCCAAGCAGTTGGCAATTCCTAGAGCTTCTGTGTTTTACTTTTTAAAAAAAATGACAGTTCACTCATTCCCAAAATAAAACAGTCTGTAGCTGCTAATTTTCCTGAATATTCCATTTTGATTCTAGAAAATTTATGCTATATTTCACTAAATCTGGATCCTACATCTCTTTCTTCAAACTCAGTAAAAAAAGTCATAGAGCTGATTTATTTTGTTTCAGAGGAAAGGAATGTAGATTGTGTACATTTTGCAGACCTTTACTAGAATTGTAATGGTTGAAACCTTTAGCTGGTGATATTCCCTTTCCTTAGTGATCTATAACATAGCCCATTTCCAGAAGCTGGGGTGACTAATGAAGATGATGTTTTGCCCTTTAGTGGCACTAATGCTCCATAGCCACTTGGCAGTTTAGTCAATGAGCGTGACATGTTAAACAAACGTGGGTAGCAGAAGCCTTGATTCCAGAGGGCTTGTCTACAAGTCGAGACCCATGGGGTCTCTCTGTTGTCTGACCTATGTTCTTCCCACTGATGGTGTCAGGAGTAGGTTCTTTCTCCTGTTCTTAGCCACATATTTTCATGACGCAGGCACATGACATCTTTCAGCAGTTACAACTGGAGGCTACATATCTGCTGTAAATAAATGCATCTTGCACAAACATATATGCAGTTTGAAATACATTTAAAAAAAGAAGCAGCCCATTCCTGTACAGCTGCTTTTCTGCAAGTACCACTTGACACTATGGGGACTTGTACCATTAGTTTCTATGTATTCATTACCCTTATGTATAATTAAAATCTAACAGGTAGCATCTTTAAAGAATAGTATTAATTACTGATGTAAAGAAATGTCACAAAAGGAAAGAAAAGACCGGAATAAGTAGTCTTATTTATATCACTGCTACTTTTTTCTAACAATTTTCAGTAGGTCAGTCCAGCATCTCTGTTTCAGAGCTGGCAGAGTCAGATAACTGTCTCTTTTAAGAAACATTATTAGAGAAGGAGTTCCCTGGACAGCATTTCCGTAAGTAGACTCATGCAGAAGTGCAGAAGACTGCTGCCCAAGAGCATTAGGGCTGCTTAGGAATAATCCATATTGTCAGGAATGCCTTGAAGAATTCCCAAGAGGGACTAGAAATCTCATATTTGTAGAACATGAATGTGTCAGCTATAAAAACAGAGGAGATTTTCTGCTTGGCTTCTTCCCCTGTTTGGACTGCCTATGTGCTAACATAATTGCTGTTAGAAAGAAAATGAAGAACAGTGCCATAGCATTTGCAGCTGAAGCAGGTAAAGAGTTAGGCTGCAGTATGGCCATATGGCAATGCTAGTAGCTTTCTTCTAATCCCAGGGACCAAGGTAGGTGCTCTGCTGTTTTGATTATGGCATGGTGAAATGGTCCCCATGTGGGGGTTTGTAGTTACTGAAATGACTAAGATGCTGTACCTCTGCTTTCTCTTAAGACCCTTAGAAAGGGAAACAGCCTTTAATTCTCTTTTTGTTCAGTCTGCTTTAAGAAAATGAATTTAAAGCAATGGCTTGGTATGACTGCTGAATGTATTTGATTGTGCTCCACACTGCTGGGGACCACATAACCTGGCTGAGAAATCTTGGGTGTATACCAGACTAGGGTATGGTTCTCTGCTTTTAGTCTTTTTCTTTCGTTTCTCCCTTCCCCCATCCCCCTCAGCTTTGTGGCGATAAACTGGCAATGCCCATTGATGGGTAGGAAATAGGTCCTTATAGCACCTGATAGCATTAAGCATAAAGTGATAGGCAGGGAGCTGGTCCTGTCCCTATTCAGTTAATGAGACTGCTCAAGCTGCAGGTTTTTCCACGGACTCCAGGTGTACATTGCAGTGAAGCCAAGTGCTGGTACTGAGAGGCAGTGGCACTGCACGTCCTTGAATACAGCGGTGCCTGCTATGTGCCTACTGCATTCCCAAAGAGAGGTACAGTGACACCAGGCAGTTACTCTTCCCAGTATTGGAGAGACAGAGCAGTCAGTAGCTGTAGCTGCTGCTTTTCTGGAGTTGACCCTGTGTTAGTGGGAGCTCACCAGCACTTTCCGTAGGGCCCTCCTGCGCGACATGTGTACCTTCAGTCCCTCTGCACACCAGGTGCTGCCTCTCTAAAGACTGCAGGGTCTCAGTTTTGGTTTCTCTGCTGTGGGCCACTTAGCTGAAGACTACCACAGCTCAGCAGGACTGACCCACGAAAGCTGCCAGAAAGCCAAATTCCACCTCCCAAAATGCTTGGCAAGCAGGCTGCCTGGAAGAGCTGCTGCTTCTGCCTGCCTGCATCTCTCTCCCTTCAGACAGCCCTCCATGAGAGCCGCTAAATCTGCTGAGAGCTGTGGTACTAACTTTGCACCCGGTGCATGGAGGAACTCCCCAGGCAAATGATGCCTGTGATCTTTTCTTCAGGGTTTTGATACCACTTTCTCAAAGCTGTGCGGGTCGTTCAGCAAACTCCAGCAAGACTTCTTTTTGACTGACCTGGTGCCTTGCAGACAAGAGCCTCATCTCTGTGGGTCCTCTTCTCTCAGTAATCAATCTGGGAGTCTAGGCCAGGCAGACAGGTCGTTCCCTCTGCTTTGCCTGCCCCTTGGCATGTATCTGGGAATATGATGTTACAGGAGCTTCACCGCTTCCAGTATTTTTGAGTAGTAACAGTTACTTGCTGGCCGAATAACTCAGAGTTACTGATCTGGAGACCATCTAACCTGCATCATTTGGGAGGCAGGAGATTAGATCTGAGTAGGAGGAGCTGCACCAGCTCATTTGCAGACTTTTCTGACCCTGTTACAGTGAGAAGGCAAAGCAGCTTCATTAAAAACAAACAAATAAAGAACTGGAGCTGGGATTCTCAGCTCTGTGAAAGCTCTCAGTTGTGCTTGGCAGGTGACTGTTGATAACTTCAAGTGCGGTGGAAATGTGTTTCCCGTTCCTTTGTAGCTATTTGAACTCTTGTGAATGATGCGTTATTTTGCCTATTGTATGTTGCTTGGTGTATAAAAAATATGATGTAATTTGATTTGTATGTACGTATGCCTTTTCAAAGTAACTTCAGCCACCAATGTTTACTTCGTTAGGTTAAATTACTATGAATTGAGAAGTGTAGATATTGCCTAGCTTTCAGTAATATTTTTGTATTTTGTTAACATACGATGATTATTGTATTCAGTCTAAGTGAAATATATAGCAGAGTATTTAATGCATTTATGTAGCAGGATCTTTATGTAACATAACCATAATTCTGGGTTTAAAAAACATCCATCCATTTTTGTATAAGAGTACTGAGTATCACTGTTTGCTTCATTGTTTTTTGTTTTTTTTCCTTGCTTCTTACTGCTCTAGGATTTTGGCATCATGTTTACACATCACATTGTAACAGTCACCCTGATAACCTTCTCATATGTAACCAATTTGACAAGAGTGGGAACCTTGACCTTATGTCTCCATGATGCGGCTGATGTTGTCCTAGAGGTGAGATAATACATATGTCATTAGTGTCTGTACATGGTGTTCACTATTCAGAGAGCTAGCATGTCAGTAGGTAGAACCTATTTGCTATGCAGAACAAGGATTTCCTAAGCAAAGAGTCCAGTTCAAGATGGTAATGGTGATTAATATAGTGTATTTCCTTGCTGAAATATATTACACCTGTAGCAGTGCATGTTTGTGACTTCAGGCTGGTTTATCCATTGATAAGTTGCTTGTACAGAGCACTGGTAATGCATTGCATGCCAGGGAGGGTTACACACTGGATTTAAATATAACGTGGTAAAGTCAAAAGCTCAAAGTTGCAAAATCTGGAAAGTGGTGACTGTAGGATAGAAGCTCCTGGTTCTTGACCCCTCTGACATGGTATGTGGGGCAAAAACCCTGTTTCCGAAAGAATCAAGATGTCACAGTTTGTTTCTGCTGTGCTTTGCTGGGCAGAGGGTGCTGGACAATTCAGTGGCTGTTTGTGCATGGGCAGTGAGCTGGCCTCTGGTCCCCAGGATTTTCCAGGTTCCTGTGCCTCCGCATCTAGATGCCAGTATTAAGGAGTTGGCTTTGGAGAAGAAGGGGTGATTAAAATTCTTTTAAGTCAAGATGGTCTGTAACTTCCGTAGTGGCAATTTAGAGATATTCTTATCCTGTATCTGCATCAGTTTTTAGACAGCTCTGGGTGATGCTGGGATTGGGCTGTCTGTGAACACCCCATCAGGATCAAACTAAAGTTAATAACTATTTTGTCTGAAATTATTTTTTATTAAGGCAGTTGCAAGGATCCTGTTATGCAAGAATATAATCTCACTGTGTGAGTCATCTACTGCAGAATCAAAATCCTGCCATTCAGATTTGATAGTGCTGTAAACCTGGGTTTATTTTTTAATCTAGAATGCACATGACTGCCTGAGATAGAAAGCAACAGAGAATCTGGATTTATCCTGTTAGAAATAATTACATCTTTACAAGTTTATTCTTCTGTTTTAGCAATGTGTGTAGATCTATTCTACTAGTTGTGGGTTCACCCAAACTTTCTTCATGCATCTTTTCTCACCACCAGAAGGACGTGCTTGAAGGTGTTCATTCCAGATCAGTGTCTGTGGGACTCTAAAACCACTGGAGAGCAGCTGTAATAGGCTAGCTAAAACCTTAGCTTGAACACAGTGAGATGCATATTTTTGCTCAATTCCTCTGTTCATTCACTGGCTAAGGCAAAGAGAAATTGCTGGTATTATCACGATTTGCAAACATTCAGCAAATACACTTCCCCATGAGGCATATACTCTAGTGGTCTTTCTAGTCAATTAGTTCAGTCTGTTCTGGCTGGAAATACTAAAGCTACTCTGAGAAGTGTAAGAGAATCACAAGCCCCGAGCAGCATTTACTAGGAGGGCCTCACTCAACAGGCTTTCTTCTGCTAAGCCAGTGGGTCACAGCCCCGGGGCCATATGAGAGAAGATGGACTCTTACACACTGCTGACATTACTGAGGGGAAAGTCAGTGCAGAGGAAGAAAATTAGCAAACTGCAAAAGAAGCTGGTAAAATACCTTACCATGGTAGGTCAATTGTGCACCTCACCTGTTTTATGTATTTTGTAGTTGTAAAAAATGAAAAGCTATTTCCAGAGGCCACTAGGCTCTTTCCACCTACCATAATGAAACATGTCCAGTGGAAAACTGGAATGACACGTTTTTGCTATTCACATTGCAGAAAGTATTATATATTGGTAGGAATACTGGAGATGAGGTTTTTTCCATAGGTCTTAAGGCATCTGCAGATACAAAAGAGTCATAGTAGGATATTCAGGAATACATAGCTGCTCACTTAGATGTGAGGGAAAGTTATCCTGGATACTCAAAGCAGCCTAGCCATAGCAGGACAGACCAAATGTAGAGTAATTTACTTGCCTAGGAAGCCATTACATTAGCTTAAACTGAAAACTAGGCTACCGAGAGGCAATTTTCAGAATCCCAGCTAAGTTGTTTATGGGATCTTGGGTATCTTTGTACTGCACTACAGATTGTGGGTTGGAAACGCTATGATGTAACCAGCTGAAGCACTTAAAATCCCACCTATATGGGGACCTTGAGACTTTTCAGCTTCAATTAATGAACACTGTGACAGTTTTGATGCCAGTGTATGGATGTGAATAGTTGCCAATTTGGTATGCTTCTGGTGTATGAGCCTCACATAGCTGACAGTTCAACCTGAATCCTTTCTGTCAGGTTCCAGCTGTCTCCTAACACACTTCTCTAAAGTAGCAAGGAATGGACATTTCAAACCAAGGCAAATAGCTGTGCTGTAAAATAAATGGATTTAAATAGACTAGCGAGAGTATCTGGAAGAGTTGTGTTATTCAGTTGTAGTCACAGTTTTAAGCTTTGAAAATTGTGTTGTATTGTCTTAGGTGGCTAGATTCCATCCAACAACAACATACTCCCTTGATTTTTTTGTAGTCCTTCCTTATCGATATCATTTGTAGATTTGTTATTTGGGAACTGATGACCCAGCAGCTGTACTGTTTTTGAGAAATGGCATGGTACTACTACAAGTTGCTGTAGCAATATCATCTCCACACACTATGAAACCAGCTTTTTTAGACTGCCGCCATGGAAATACATCCAAAATTCCTATCTGAACTTTCAGTCATCTGAAAATCAAGGTGCTAGTAACTCTTCTGTTTTGCATGTTGGCACCAGACTGTTCTCTTTTCCTTACACCAGACTTTGAGTACAAACTGCCAGGAAACTCATTTGCGTCCGCTCGAATATAGGGCTGATTTGGAAGGGTTATGTTTTCTTTGCAGCACTGGTGGCTTTCCTCATGTTTTGTGAGCTTCCTAACTTGTTTTCTGTTAGTGAGGAATATCCTTTATATTCAGGTTTTGAGTGGATACATTGCGGAAGTTAGGTGACACCCGAAAGTGCAGGTTGGTTTTGGCATCCAGATTGTCCGACATGAGCATTGAGTACTTTAAGGTTCAGTGTATTCATACCAAAAAAATCAGAATACAAGAATCCCTCTCACCATTTTAGGCAATTCCCTGGTTTGAATTCTGCATTCAGAATAGTATTCTGTATGCATAGTTGTGGCAATTTTGCTCCCTCTTAGCCCTCTGGAAAGTCTGCACAAGTAAGCTTCTTCTCAATATGGGAGCTGGATACAGGTCCCCTCAGAAGGGGGCTTTGAAAGGGTTCCCAGTGGCTTAAGTGGACACTAAATCAGGCTTTTCATGTACTTCATTGTGCAGTGACTCTGGATACATTTGACAGAAAGCATGAAGAAAGACTGTCTCTGCCTTGAAGCAGATGTCAGAAAATAAGTAACTGCTTATACACACAAATGCTGTGGAAGCAGCAGAGATGTCTTAAAACAAGCTTGCTTGTACGTGCTGTTTTCTTCAGGGAGAAGAAGGCAAAGAAACTTCAGGGAAGATCAGTGTTTTAATGAGCAGTTTAAGTGAAGAGTAATTAGTGACTTCTTCATTGAGGAGGAGTGGAAAGACTGCATGAAGACAAATGAGAGAAGCATGTAAAAATAGGCGTAGGGCAACAAGTTGAAAAGCAAAAGTTGGAAAGAGAGAGGAAGAGAGCCTTGGAAAAAGATTTGAGGGGAAGGGATATAATCTTTGAGGTGGAAACTGTTCTGTATAGGCCAGAGAGGAAGAAGAGATGCTGTAGGGGAATGTAGGATATGGGGCATGGTAGAGGATTTGAGACAAAGTTTATATATAGCAGACACTAGAAGGTCAGAGAGCATGGTACAGGTGGAAGATGGATGGATGCTGAAAATGCAAGTGGAGCATACTAGAAAGGTGAGAGACAGGTAGGTAAAGAGGTTGGGGACAAGGACAGCATAAACACAGTGGGGTTCAATAAAAGGTTTAGAAGAGTTTTGTGAATCTGAAATTGTAGAATTTAAAAAAGGAAATTGAATGGGGAAGGAAAAAATGAGAGATGTACTCTGGTTTATGCAGTCTGGGTTTTTTTCTGAGAAGACATTTTCCAGCTGCTTGGTGGAGAGGAGTTACAAGGTCACTGCAAGGTGGCCCAATGAAAATGTTAATAATTTCATAAAAGTTTGATTTCTTCTTCTTACAGCTTATACACAATACAAGAGAACTCAGTTGTCCTCACAGAAGTAAACAGACATTTCTTTCTTTTACAGGCTGCCAAAATGGCAAACTATTGCAAGTGTCAAAAACTGAGTGACCTTCTGTTCCTTACATTTGCCATTGTCTTCATTGTCAGTAGGCTTGGCATATATCCCTTATGGTGAGTAAGCATATCATTTTCCTCAAATGCTAAGCATCAAACAAGCTTGGAAATAACTATGCTGTAATTGAACATGATTCACTGACATTACTCTGTTTCCCAAAGCACCAAGGAGAGTTTCAGACAATACTAGGTGCTGAAATAGCCTATTTGCTAGAGTGCCATTGTGCTTACTGTGTGCTAGACAAGAAACATATGGGGCATCTGCTGGTTTTAAGGTAGAAGTAGGTTGGAGACCACATAGCTTCAAGCTAGCAGTTGGTCACCTCTGTTGGCAAGAAGTTAGAGGAGAAATAAAATGTCACTGAAGACACTGACCAGAGGCTAAGCTTGAAGCTGGGATCTTCTCATTAGCTTTCAGTGCATGCTTTATGAACATATTCATCTTGAAGAAAAACACAGTGAGATAAGGAATGTCTGGCCCGCTGAAATCAGTATAAGGATGTTATTGCCATGCAGGTTGCAGTACTGCAGGCTACTCTTTTCCCGCCCCTCCTTTGCACTGAGGGTCCTGGAGAAGCTGTGTAATACATACATCTATAAGGTAGTTATACAGTAATCTCACCTCTTCCCAGAAAAAGGCAGCTGCTTGCATGTGCACCTACTCTTTCTTCTAGGTATGCACACAGGACATAGATGTTCGATTCTTTTGCTAGGTCTTCAACATCCAGAAGGCAGCTGGCTAGTTAGGAAATACACTAATGTACTTCACTGTGGAAACCCATTCAAGTTTCTCTGTAACCTGTGCCCTATATATGAGGAGGGCTGGGAGAAGGCATTGACCTCACTCTTTTGTGTTCTGGATCCTTCCTTTCTCTCATATGAACAGAAATAACCCAAATCTCTGTATCCCTATGAGAGCAGGAGGGGTCTGTCATTGCATCAGAAGATAATAGTGACAGTTTTGGTTTTGGGAAGCATGAAGAATGCCAGAAACGTTACCCTTTTTAGAGTTTTACTTAGAGAGATTACCACCAAGCGCCTTAGCAAAGGATTTACAGATGCCAATATCAACATCCCCACTACAGTTTCCTTTCAAATCCTCTGTAATGATATCTCTTTGGGGTTTTGTTAATGCAAACAGGATAAGACCAAGGTGCCCTTAGGGAGCTGTGTCATCAGCTCTGCTTAACAGTGCAATGTAGAAGTCTCATTTAGCATTTAATGACTCCAAAGATAATGTGATAATGTGTGGTCCCTACTGCACTGAGTTGGTGACGGACCATGACAAAAGGAGAAAATGGATAGACACACAAACTGTGTGTTTAAAAATGCTTGTTATTGTTTCCAAGGAGGAATTATTTGTTTCTTAAACAGCTTTGCTTCCCTTTCCTCAGTCCTTCCTTGAAGCTAAATTGGCCATTCACTGAACTTCTGTAAATGAAGGAAGCTAGTTTTTCTACTTGCATGGTCTCAGAATGGTCTCAGATAGGAAAAATGGTGGCACTCCAGCTCATAGGATTTCATCTGCCTGTTGCATTCTGGTTTATATTGAGAAATGGAGGGAGGACCCAATTCTGCCAGTGCAGTTCTGCCACTGGAGACTGCAGTACATGACTCTGCTTCAGGGAAGGCTCAGTCAGATGATGACTGGATGGGTTCACAAAGGGGAAGGCAAAGAGGAATTCATACTTGACCAACCTGATAACCTTCTATGATGAAATGACTGGCTTGGTAGATGAGGAGAGGGCAGTGGTTATAGTCTACCTTGACTTCAGTAAGGCTTTTGACACTGCCTCCCAGAAGATCCTGAGAGGGAAGCTGATAACATATGGGCTAGATGAGCAAACAGTGAGGTGGATTGAAAACTGGCTGAGTAGCCAGACCCAGAGTGTGGTGATCAGTAGTAGGAATTCTAGTTGGGGGCTAGTAACTAGCAGTGTACCCCAGGGGTCAATACTGAGTCCAGTCCCATTCAACATCTTCGTTAATGATCTGGAAGATGTAGCAGAGTGCACCCTCACCAAGTTTGCTCATGTTCCAACCTGGGAGGAGTGGCTGATACACCAGAAGGTTGTGCAGCCATCCAGAGGCATGGAACCTTAACAGGCTGGAGAAGTGGGCTGACAGGAACCTCATGAAGTTCAGCAAAGGGAAGTGCAAAGTCCTGCACCACTGTATGCTGGAGGCTGACCAGCTGGAAAGCAGGTTTGCATAAAAGGAACTGGGATCCCAGTAGACACCAAATTGAACAGGAGCCAGCAATGTGCCCTTGCGGCAAAGAAGGCTAATGCTATCCTGGACTGCAATTAGGAGGTGTTGCCAGCAGATTGAGGAGCATGATTCTTCCCCTCTACTCAGCACTGGTGAGGCCACACCTCGAGTACTGTGTCCAGTTCTGGACTCCCCAGTACCAGAGAGATACAAAGCTACTGGAGAGAGTCCAGCAAAGGGTCACTAAGATTGATTAAGGGACTGGAGCACCGCTCACATGAGGAAAGGCTGAAACAGGTGGGACTGTTTAGCATAGAGAATAGAAAGCTCAGGACAGATACTATCAATATATATAAATATATGAAGGGAGAGTGTAAAGAAGACTGAGACAGGCTCTTTTCAGTGGTGCCCAGGGCCAGGACCAGAGGCAACGAGCATGAACTGAAACATAGGAGGTTCCATCTGAACATCAGGAAACACTTTTTCACTGTGAGGGTGACTGAGCACTGGCACAGATTGCCCAGAGAGGATGTGGAGTCTCCATCCTTGGAGATACTCAAAAGCCGTGTGGACATGGTCCTGGGCAGCCTACTAGAGGTGACCCAAGTTGAGCAGGGCTGTTGGACAGGATGACATCCAGAGGTCCCTTCCAACCTCAGCCATTCTGTGATTCTGTGAGCTGCCTTATGTGTGTAGCTATGACTCCAGCATTTAAATCTCACTCTGTATTATTTGAAATGACAAAGAAGGAGCTGCTGACTTGAAATTTTTTGTTATTCAAACACAAACTTTACCAGATCACTGCTATGTGCTTGCTTTGCTGAATAGTCAACAAAGAGCAGATTAATCTTGTCCAGAGTGCATGATTTTGAAGGAGGTCATTAGTCTTCACACATTTAACTAGAAACAGCTGCCCAATATGCTTTTTCTCATGAGACATCTGAAAATCAGCAAGGTCCAGATTTTCCCATCCTTTACATCCTTACTATGCTAGTCAAGTTTTGGAAAGTCCACGCTTTCAACCTGAAGTGTTTAAAATAACGCTGTGTGTTTATAACTGGAACTGAAGCTCAGAAACTGGAGGTTCATGCTGTCTCAAGTGATTTCTGTGAAGTGTTGCAGCCAAGTGTCACACTGTGCAGGAAACCCTTGCAAGGACTAGGCAAATTATAAATTAAAGATTGACATGGCTAGTGGGAATCAGGCATCATAGAGCTGAAGACTGTGTAAGTGTCCCTAATACACATTCATGCTGTCTGACTGGCAGAGTCCCAGAAGAGATTACCAGCACAGTGATAAGTTATCTAGCAAGCGTGAAAACTTGAGCCCTGCTTTACAGCTGTGGCATTTGGTGCTGGTGTTCTGGATGTGCCCATCCGTTCCCATATACATTAGGTTACAGCAGCACTTCCATGCCACTTTAGATTGAACCTTGTCTGAATAGAGTACCACTGGCCCAGTGTGCTGAAAGCAGGGTAAAAATCGAGGCAAGTAGATCTGGGGAAGAGGGAAAGGGACAAGGGCTGCACAGTAGCTTCTGTTGTTGATATTGGCTCCCTTGATACTGAGTATTGGGCTAATGAGAGCAGCAGGTTACAGGCGTGGGTGAGGTTTGCTGCTGGGATGGAAAAGATCAGCATAGACTCTTGAAGACAGTGAAGGCAGAAGGATTGTGCATTATAGGAATGCAGCAGCCAACGGTGTGCTGTGTGTTCCCATGTCACAGATGGAGTGGTTACACTGGCGATCCCTCTGCCTCTCCTTTCCCTTAATGAAACACATTTATTTATTTGAATATGCAAATGGTTCAGTGCGGTGTATATGATCTTTGATTTTTAAGACCATCTTACTTCCAGACCAAAGCCTTGATGTATGTATTCCTAACAGTTACCCTTACATACACCTATAATTACAGTGCCTGGAGGCAGTTCCATAGTTCTCAGCTGTACTGTGGGCACTGCATGTGGAACTCAGGGTTAGCAGGGATGAAGCATGGAGATGTATGAGCTTGTCTCTCCCAAATCCTTTTTCTCTATGAAACAGCAATTCTAAATCTTCACCCCCATTAGCTTGCACGTCAGCAAAGATGAGTCATTGGCGTGGCAGCAGGCCAGGAAGCATAGTTTTGCTCTCCTTTGCTGAATATTCAAAATAGCAAAATTTAGTGCCTGATTAATATTACATAAATATGCAAATTTTTCTAGCATAAAAACCGAGAGGTATAAAATTGGTGTGCATGTAATTTAAAAGGAAGACTATAATTTATAAGAAATTCCCCCACACAGGAAGGCGAATACCCAAGACAGGCTTCCAGAGATGTTGCTTATGAAGCACTGGCATGCTGTTGTGCTCTGGCTTTGCACAAGTGCCATTTAATTTTGCATAAAGGTGCTAATAAAGAATTCAGAATGTATCAAATGCTGTTTTTGAAGGTTGTTTAGCAGTGGGGCTAAGACAAAAGAAACTGGCAATTAGGTATATATTTAGCAGTCTTTCTGCAGGCATCTGGAGTTCATTTCAGCAATAATTCAAAAACCCCAGGACACTTTCTGCCTCCTGCTGCTAAGTGGATGTAGGAGTAAAGCTGCTATTTTCACTGACAAGACATTTTGCTTGTGAAATTCTCCCACTTGCGCATAATCACTGTTCTAGCAAACTCTAACATAAAACACAACTCTCCATGAGTCAGGGGGAACATGATGCCTTCTCAAGTGATACAGGATTGTAGGGAGAATTAAAGCAATCTCAGCTAAAGAATTTATATAAATTATGTGAGCCCTTGGCTAGTCTAATCAGGCTGGGCAAAGCAGTCACCTCAAGCGTTTCTTTATTTCAATAAGCCTTGC